CGAGCACGGCCTTGGCATACATTAAAATAAGCCACTTTATTTTCCAATGCGTCTTTCATCTTGAACTTGCAGCACACACCACGGCCCAGAAAAAGAAAATGTACCAAAGTTACCAACCCATATATACTTGCCCTCTAAACACCTTGTATCAAGGAGTACAGACCACTGAAGTGAAGGCTCTTATGTGCTAATGCATTCTCGCATGGACTAAATGACCACAACAGGCTTTTCAGCAGAAGCAAAGAGCCTCTGCTGAAATGCAAAAACAGATTTGCTGGACTCTTCATGGTAAACCAATGGGGAAAACATGCTGAGGTGCCTCTCCCTTCACTCCTGTCGGGCATCTAATGCCAAAAACCAGGGAATCTATTTCCTTTCTTCCTAGCATATCATAAATATAGGTGATCTGCTATTAGGGAGAGGAACAGGCTTTAAAAGCATTTGCAGATCAAAGTAAACCACTGAAGTATCCGTGCAGCACACAGTTGCCTCCAATGCAACACCCTTGCTGCTTCCACAAAGACCATTATTTAAATCCAGCACATAAGCTGGTGTGGGCTGAGCTCACTGCTAATACCAGGAATCATTTGGATATTGGGAGGATGACAAACTCTCTTCACAGCTCCTGTCTTGCAGTACCCATCTTCAGAACTTGGAACAATGTCCATCTCCAGAGTTATACTTTATGTAAAAGCCGAAAATATTTTTAGAGGCAAAAAAAAGTTTCCCAGAAACTCCTGCAGAAAGACATGATAGGAAAGGAAACAAATGCCAAACTTTGCAGATATACAAGAGGGCAAGATTTAGAAGTAGAACTGATCATGCCTAAGCGACTACCAGCGGTAATATATTCTGCAGCTGCTGTGCAGAGCTTGCAATGCATAAATACTGCCAACCCAGCTCAGAGCAGCGGTAAGCAGTGGCTGCTTCAGAGGCAGGTTTCAAACCCCAGCAGAACAGTCGATTGTGCAACAGGAGTGGCAACCGCATATCAATAGGAGTGGCAGGATTGTACCAGCCACCTCTCCTGCTCTGCATACTAAGTGACCAGACATAGGCATCATAAGCCACCAGATTTCAACTGAACCGTTCAAAACAAGGTTTATCAGGGGCAGTGACAGCTAGAGTGCTGCCTACGTGCTCCCACTTTCTAATGGTGAAGCCATCAGGTGCGCTTTTCTGGAGTTAAGCTGACACAGCATAACAGATTTCTTTATTTAACACTGGGGCAACTACACTTAATAACTTGGTACTTACACAGCAATTTGAAAGAGCGAAGTGTTTTCCTTTAAACAAAAAAACAGTCTAAAAAAGACCAAAAAAAGAAAAGAAAAAAAGAAACTTGTACCTTCCAGCTAACATTGAATTTGCTACACTGAGGGTTGGCTTTTTTCAAAGCGGGTAGCATTTGTGAATACACGACTCTTGCCACAGCCAAACACTTGAACTGTTGCTTTTAATTTCGGTGCTTCAGAAAACTATAGAAATAAAATTTTGGTTGTCGTCTGTTATCCCATTTAGGAAAGAGACCACCCACTACCTCAGATCACTTCTGGAGGGAGTCTATTCCAGGTCTTGGGGGCTCAGACCGTAAAGAATTTTTTTCTTATGTCCCACCTAAAACGGTCTTGGGGGAGCTTATGACCAGTGGTCCTTGTTTTTCCTTGGGGTGCTCTGGCAAACAGGTGTTCTCCCAGATCCTGACGCACCCTGCTTATGTAGGTATAAGCAGCCACCAGGTCCCCCCTGAGCCTGCGCTTTTCCAGGCTGAAGCCCCATGGCTCTCAGCCTCTCTTCATAAGGCCGGTCCTCCTGCCCTCTGATCACGCGCGTGGCTCTCCTCAGGACTCTTTCAAGTTTCTCCACATCCTTCTTGAATTGCAGAGCCCAGAATTAGATGCAATACTCCAGCTGTGGCCTCACCAAGGCCGACTACAGTGGGAAGATGACATCCTGAGATTTACTTGAGCATCTATGGATGCAAGTCAGGGTTTTGTTTGCTTTGCCAGCTGCAACAATCGCATTGGTGGCTCATGATCATCTTGCGGTCAATCATGATCCCCAAGGCTCTTTCAGCCGTGATGCTAGCAAGCGTAGCGTGCCTATAAGCATGCTGCAGGCTTTTCCACCCCCCACAAAGTGGAGTACCTTACATTTATCAATATTGAACGTCATCAGGTTTGTATCTGCCCACTTACTAAGTTGATCTAAGTTAGCCTGGATCACTAGCCTGTCCTCAGGTGTGAATGCTATGCCACAAAGTTTAGTGTCATCTGTGAACTTAGCCAGTGCGCTTCTGACACCAATATCCACATCGTTGATAAAGATGTTGAAGAGAACCGGTCCAAGGACAGAGCCTTGGGGGACACCACTGGCCACAGGGCACCATAATAACTCACTGCCATTGACCACTACTCTCTGGGTCCGACCTCGGAGCCAGTTTCCCAGCCATCGGACAGCGATGTAGCCAAGGCCACAGTTGGCCAGTTTTTCCATGAGGAGGTCATGGGACACCAGATCAAAGGCTTTTTTTAAAGTCCAGATATATAATGTCAATCTCTTCTCCCTTGTCCAGGTGATATGTCACCTGGTCATAGAAGGAGATGAGATAACATACCAAAGCCACCAACCCATATATACTTGCCCTCTAAACACCTGTATCAAGGAGTACAGACCATTGGAGTGAAGGCTCTTGCGTGCTAACACATTCTCGCATGGAACAAGTGACCACAACAGGCTTTTCAGCAGTTTCTTTATTTAACACTGGAGCAACTACACTTAATAACTTGGCCCTTACACAACAATTTAAAAAAGCAATGTGTTTTCCTTTAAACAAAAAACAACAGTCTAAAAAAAGACCAGAAAATGTACCCTCCAGCTACCATTGCATTTGCTAAACAGAGAGCTGGTTTTTCTCAAAGCAGGTAGCATTTGTGAACACACAACTCTCGCCACAACCAACCACTTGAACTGTTGCTTTTAATTTCGTTGCTTCAGAAAACTACAGAAATAAAATTCTGTTTGTCATTTGTTATCTCATTTAGGAAAGGGATAACCCACTTCCTCAGATCAAGACGTTATCCCAGGTGTTAAGGGCTAGTTGTAAAATGGTTTGCATCCATCCTAAAGATGAAATAAAACACTTTAATTACACAGAAAGACTGTTCAATAGTTTGTGCCTGGGGAGGCCAACTTGAGGTGGCAGGAAGCAGACTGGGGATGGGACAGGTAGCAGAGAGCAGAGCAGAAGACTGGGCAGGGAGCACAGGGCAGGGAACAGACAGCAGAGCAGCAGATCAGGCAGGGGGAAAGGGATTAGATTGGGGCTCGGGGAGGGAGTGGGGCTAATCTGTGGCCCACCGGCCGAAAAGGTTGCCCCCCACTGTTTTATGCTATTTAATGGCTATGTGCGCAGCCATAAAACCCCCTATATCTAATAAGTTTTTGGTGCGTTTCTCAGGGTCAAGCCCCGAGTGCAGCATTCTGTCTCTCTACTGCAAAATCTGAGTGCATTAAAAGCCCTCGATTCAGTCTTGGTCAATAAAACACTTTCAGTTACTGGTTTAAAGTGTCTTGATTTGAAAGTCACCATCATTCGTGGTTTAGGTTCTCAGCTGTATTACAAAAAGCAGTCGCCTTTAAATGAGGAGAGCATGCCGTCGACCTTGAAGTACGCCGACACCCACAGCCCCCCTTTCCAATACGAAAATTGGAGGGGTGGAAGAGATGGTATCCTCTCAGTCAAGGCTGAGATACAGCGAGAAAGATTCCCTGAAGCTCTAAGACTCGCTTCTCACTTTCTGTGGTGTCAGGGTGGCTGTTACTTGGCTCACCGTGCCTGGGTGCAATTTCTCTCCTGAGCCTAAAGCTAGTGCTTCTCCCATATGGGAAGAGAATGGCTCCATAGGAGAAAAGGTTAACTTCTTACGGAGCCAATGATCAGCTAGATAAAAAATGCAATCCCTTAAATACTTCCGAGTGGTGAAACTGGCCAAAGACGTGCGCCAGCCAATGACTTCTACCTGTGCAGGCCAGAAACGATAAAGCAGTCAGATGCTCCTGTCTAACAAAACACCAGACAAACAAAACTCAGTGACTATATATTTTCCCCTCACTTTGGTCTTTTAATTTGCTACCTGCAGAGATTGCTCACAGGTTGCAGGGAAGAGAAAAGCACGCCTTCTTTAGTGTTGAGTCGCGGCTAAATGCTCCTTAACAAGGACGCGTGGCACTGCTAGAGCCCTCTTCCCATGATGAACTGGAGGAAGGGGTTGGCTGGGTTTGTTTCCATTGTAACGTACACAAAGAGCACAAAGATGAAGATGGTGAATATGGCGATCCTCACTGGCATGGGTATGAGCCCTTGATGAGCATCCTCTCGGGCCACTTCTGACCTGAATTTCTCCTTTTCCAGCTTCAGCTTCTCCTTCTCCACCCTGACCGTCTCTACAGTCTCCTTGGTTGACTGGCCACTCTCCTTGGCTGCTCTTTGCCTAGAACTGCAAAGGAGAAAACAAGGCATAAGACAGCCGGAAAAAAATCCGTACCGCCAACCCTTGAGATCTGTCACTTGTTACTATTCAAACTCAGCGCACAGGTTCACAACAGAAATAGCACACGGGAGGGAAGAAAAAGGCTGGTGGGTGATCGAGACAAACTTAAAGGCAGGCAAAGGACAGGTGATAGAACAAGAACCTCTAAAATTACGGCAGCAAGTTTTTTGTGAGCTGTCTGGATGGAGACACTGTTGTGGCTTGAATCTTAGGCTGACAGCCGTTACGGTCAGGACCGTGATGTGTTTTACAACAGTTTGTGCTCCATTGACACAACACTGGTAGGAATACATTCCTCAGGCAGGCTTTCGAGGGTTATTTGCTGTTTTACAACGGATGGGAAATTGGTATTAGGAAACAATGCATTCTGGCTGGTTGCCAACGGAAGCAAAATCTGCAGGTCAGGACTCGTGTTTAATGAGCTGCACTGGAAGATAAATGGGCCTCCTCCAGTCTTTCTGATGCAGTAGCATGGGGCACAGGTTCCCAATATTTATTCTTTTATCTGCGCAGGCCACAGAAGAATTAGGAAGTGGCGTTCTGCCGAGATGGAAAGGGAGTTCCTACCTGAACGAGAGAAATAGCCAAAAAACAAAACAAAACACCCTTCTATACTAGTTGCAGTGACTAAGCAGTGGATTTTTTTAAAAAGACCACCCCACGTACACAATCTGGATGCTGTCCCCTATTAAAAACTAATTGACATTGCTCATTTTGATTTTGACACCAACTGGAGTCTAGTTTTTACTTCAAAGCACCCCAGGAACACAGTCTTTTTGTGAAAGCCGGCATCCCTTCCAGCATAAATGGTAGGCTGCAAAAGGAAAAGACAGACACCGGCTTTTTTGGACATGAAGGAAGTTGCTTCAGTGCCGGGGGCATCGGTGTTCTCTGCGTGCTGAGTTTCAGCGCGTGGTGGAAGTATCGAACAGACTAGTTAACTCAGTAGCAGGAGAGAGTTACTCTACCAGCTGCTTTATTGCCAGGAGCACCAAGCACAATCGAAACCCGTTTTGCCACAAGCTCTGTAAACAGAGAAAGACAGGATAGTAAGAGATGGTCCCTAGCCTTGAAGAGCTTGCAGTCTAAATAAGCACCGAGGCACAGAGAGGTCTGAGGCAGAGCTCAGCGTTGAGCCCAGGTCTCTCTGGCCCATCCCGGTGACGTAAACGCTCCTTCCTCTTTAGCCCTACATCAAAGGTTCAGGGCTGTCCCAGCTCCCTTGTGACTTCATGTCATTCCTGTATTCAAGTGGTGCAATAGCTTTTGTGAAGCAGGTTAGCATGGAAGAGCAACTGCATCACACAAGCCAGTAAGTCGTTCCTCGTATGGCTCTCATTAAAAACAAATATGCAACTGGCTATAGAGCTTGCACTCCCTGCAGCTGCTGGTGCTCCCTCCCAGCTCAAGATCTATATTCACTGGCACCACAGCACAAGAAACTTAAATACACTAGTCTGCAACTTTCCCATTCTTCCAGCTATGAAAAAAAGCCACCATGAAAAGGCTTGAAAGCTGAAGTACACTTCAGCAAGTGGCTCCATCCATCATAAGTTCCCTGAATGTCTCTCTCTCACCACCAGTGCTGCTTAGCAAGCTTGAGGGGTTGTCATGAACCCAGCAGCCTCTGCAAGGGCTATTTCCTTCAGAGATTTCACAATCTCTGGAAGGCCAAGCTGAAGATTTTAATCACCCAAAAACAACGTGAGGGAAGATTAGCCACTGATAGGTGCTGCATTTCTATTAACTTTGTATCAGGTTATTGAACAGCCTTACCTTATCCCGACAGGAGACTGAGGGGCTGGAAACCATGTTTCACCTTGGCCATCATCTTTGCCAGCAGTGCCCCCAGGTGTGTCAGCTATCTGATGAGAGGAGAAAAAGTTTTTGGTGTGACGTCTATTGCTCACCTCGGGAGCTTTTAATCCCAACCATTGAAGCTAATGAATAAACTGTGGGTATCCGAGAGTACAAACATCCTAGCTATTTTTCTGGCCCGATGCTTCATGTTTGTGGGCCAAGCATCCTTTTGGCAATTCTAATGGGAACCTACGATTGTGTGCAAAACGCTCGCCTTGAACATTAGCTATGCCCACAGAAGCTTAAAGGAGGACAGTACCATAAACATAAGGATAACCACAGGATTTTTTCTTGGTAAGTGATCCAGTATATGGAAACTGCCTTTAAATTATCTTGTTCATAGAGAAACCATCCACTTTAGCAAACAGTAAAACCTTTGGTGAAGGATTTATAGCCATCAAGAGACTGAGCTAAATAAAGGTTAGTTGCCTGCAGTCTATTCTATTTAACAAACATTGATGTCTGTGGAGTACTAGGTAGTGTTCGATAAGACATTGTGCTCTTGTCCAGCATTTTCTTACCCTGCTGAAAAGCAGTTTGATTGTACAAGTCAGTCAGCCCTCCATAGGTGAAGAGTTGATTTAATCCCACTACTTCAACAGACCTTATAAACAAGTATAATAAAATATTGCCCTTGTAACTGAAAATAAAAGGGTGCAGGAAAGATATAGATGAAAAGCTGATGGCAGATTAAAAAAAAAAAAAAGCAAAAAAAAACTTTTTTCTGATATCATAATTATGGTCGTTAGGACAAATACGAGCCTGAAGGGTTATTTTGAGTAAAACGTTGCTTTGAGACTACTTTATTAGGAACCAGCTCACTTGTGGAATGGTTGACAATTAATTCACTAATATAACATAAGCGGGTGCATCTACATGTTCAGTAATGTGCCTTAGATACTGGGCATTTAGTTTAGTACTTCGTTAATGAAGTACTAACTGAACGCACAGTAACTAAAGTTACTCCACAGTAGGTTATTAATGCGGTGTGTGCTGTGACACGCTACTGTGTAGTGTTATTAGGCTAATGCGCAGTAAGCATCTTGTGTAGATGCGCCCACTGTGCTTTAATTAGACAGTCAATGTTATTTTCACTGATTGAAGCTAATAAAAAGGTCTGTTCTAGACTCAACACACAAAATGAGATGGTCATCAAGAACAGCTGTATCAGGGTGGCAGCCAACTACATCCAACAAGGTTAGAGTCCCACTGTGCTGATACAAGTCTTCTTCCAAAGAAATTACAGTCTAACTCCCCACCCTACAAAGATTTAGGCATGTCCTTAAAGTCATATACTTTGACCAACATGTGCAGGATTGACACCTGCAAAATGCTGAACTGAAATCCAGCATAAGTTTATTAAACGTAAAAATTATTAGCAGAAAACCATGATGGAAATGTCACAGTATGAACATCTCCCACTTCAAGATCATTCTGCTGATTTATAAGTGCAAAAGCAAAGTTATTCTGAGACTGTATCTGTTTCAATCAGAAGTTTCCTTATATAGTTCTTTGACATGGAGGCATGCAGCTATTTCCTTGTTATAAAAGGCCACCTTTGAGCCAATGTATTTGCATGTCTACCCTGCAAATGTGGGCTTATGTAGAGATGCCCAGGATCTCTCTAAATTAAGCTAACTTTGGTATTGAAAGCAGCCTCATCATGATAGCATGGGACTCTACCACAGGCTAATTTACCATGTGAAGAGGACAGGTAAATTAGCCTGCAGAGTCTGTACTATTGCTTCTAGTAAGAGGAGAGACTTCTTGATGTGTGGCTTAATGTAAGATCAAGGAAAGGAGTTCTGCGGTCCATGGATGGCATCTGAAATAAGTGTAGATCAATAAAGCTGTTTGCTCCATTTTATTTTGCGACCACAGGCTCCAGGATGTTGTTTTAGGGATACAGGACTTTGACTTTTCTTTTCCCCCGTAAAAACGTCCAATTTGCTGTAAGTTCATTAGCACCAAAGTACCGTTTTCCTGCGTGTGGGCTGAGGGCTGCTGCCACCTGACTGCTTTTGTCCATGCATCAGATGCGCTGCCAGCTTATCCTCTGGCAATATTTGTTCCAGCTGTTAACATCCAAGACAGACATGCATTACTTCAGGGGGAAAAAAAAGCATGAACAACCTATCCACATGCAAAGCCTCTCATGGTAAAAAATCCTGTATCAAAGTCCAGAATATTACAACAAGAGAGCATCTTTGTCTTTGTCATTATAACACAGCCTCATTTACAAAATAGCTACTTGAGACTGGTCTAGCTGTGACAAGAAGTATATACCTTCATTTACAGTGCAACCTTCATTTTTAAAAAAGTTCAGGCTCTGGTTACACTTATTTGCGCCTTATGCATGATATTTATAAACTTCAAGCTAATTTCTGCTCTCAAAAGTATCATTCCAATATCAGCTTGCTTTATTTTTAAAACACCAATACCGTTTCCTATACTAAGACCTATACGGAGATTATAGCAGATAGAAGAGCTTCACTGAGATGAGTCAGTAATTTCATAAGGGAATTTTTCTTATGCATATATCTGGTACGCACTTCACGCTGCATGGTTCCCCTGTATGCGCATCATGCAAATTGACCAAAGCCAAGGTGCCCCTGATAAGATGGCAGAGATTTGCAGTTATAACTACTGCTGAAAAGTTAGGAGGTGCTAACTGTACTCCTGCTCTTGAGCACACCAAAGAAATTCTTGAATTCATGCATAAATTTAAACTTTGTGAATTGGGAAGTGCAGCAACAGAACTAGATAGTAAAAGATTGTAGGAGCCAAGCCAGTACTTTCCTCTGCTACTATCTTGGCAAGACTGTAATCTGTATCAGGAGACAGGAGTTTCTTGTGACGTTCTGAAACTTCTGTGTGTGAAGCCTGCGGACAAAGGAGAAACTCACAAGGGATGTCAAAAACCACTGGTGATTTTCGTTATTCAGGACCTTCACTGGGTCCGTATTTTTCCAATGGCATAGGGTGAACCCATTGGTTTTGTTTTTTGTGTAGTTCTGACATTGCGCAGAGCAGTATTTATTACTTCTGAAGCTATTTTCAGACGTGGCTGGACAGTGCCTGATGTGTGTGGCAATGGGAGGGAGGACGGCCTAGTAGTCAAAGCAGGAGCCTTGTGTTCCAGAGACCCTAGGCCAATTCCCTGTGCATTGGGACCCTGAACACGTCGCATCAAAAACTCACAGGTATGTAGGTGCCTTACTCAGGACCCCTTTGTGAAATGGGGAGAACAGCATTTCCCTCCTTCATTGGGGTATTGCAAAACTAAATCCATTGACCTGTAATATGTATAGATGTCACAATAGCAGAGGGGCACATAACAACTACAGACAGATGGACTGTAACTGGTTGTCTAAGTTTATAGGAACTGGTTTTCCCACCTCTACTAAGGGTCATCCTATTTGAGTCCCTTAAGAATATAAGCTGAAGTATCATGCTGTGAAACACTACGGATTGAGTCAGTATTTGATGGTTAATTCTAAATACACTGGTAAATCTGTATTAATAGTTACTTAGGTGCTTTGTAAATCAGAAAATATCTTGGCACATCTTAAACACCTGAGCTGATGGTCTTACAGTGGATTTCCGTGGGCTGCTCTATATAAATTGGGCCATAGAAGCATACTATAATTAACTGATAGGTTGTAATTGCTGCATTTGTCATGAGACTAATACAACGTACATCAGTTTATATTAACTGCAATTTCCTGCATTTAGCTATAGATACATAAAATATTCATGCATTAGTAGGTTACTTACTTTATCATAGCCAGAGGCACAGGCTGCTGTCACTTTGAAGTCTTTTGTTTCAAGGACTACTGCAGTACTAGTCTCTGAATGAGAAGAAGGAAAGCTCATAAGTGAACACCTTACAGATGTGCATAAAGTATGCTGGATACTTTAAAATAAGAGGTGTGGGACAGAACACCTTTGAAAGCTGCTTTAATCATCCCTCTGGATTTCTGGAATACATACACACATTTAATTAAACTTCCTGTGCTGTCACTGAAATATTTGTAAATTATAAAAATCATTTCCATGCACGTTAAAACACTTCACCCCCCCACTCAACAGACACCACGCTCAATCGGACACCTAGATATCACGGTGATGGGCATTCTAGAAACAATGAGATGATAAAGTGCAAGCTAAGCAAGTGGGAAGAGGCTACATACCCCTGTTTGAGGCACATAATGAACCCCAAATCAGATTCATGACTTTAGGGTTCAAGAGAAAAGGGGTGGCAGAAACCAACTTGCAATTCGAGTGAGCAATTACGTATCTATTCCAAAGTGCTATGCAGTAGGAGCTAGTAAAAAACCTCTTCCTTTAAATGATGTTTAATCAATACAAAAAGAAGCCTTGTTTGAACCAGTTCTGCTTTTGTTATGACAGCTGCTACACTGTCAGATTAGTCCAATGCACAGCTGTTGGTTTCGTGTTTTTTTCAAAACATGCCTAAGCTGCTCAGGATTTTGGAACTCCTTCCTTTTCTCAACAGCGACGGAATTCACCCCACCGAGCTAATCGCTTACACAAAGCTAGCTATTCACTGCAATCTGTAAAATACTGGGAGGGTTGGCTTTAGTCTTCATAGGAACTTCAAACAGAGATTTAAAGGAGATCAAAAGGCCGGTTTTCAGTTCTAACTCACTCCCCAAAAGGATCTCCAGGACTGAGCTACTGGATGTTACACAAGAGCCAAGAGAAAAGATCCTGTATTCATTCTTCCTCTGAAGTCTGAAGAGAGCTCAAATGCCTTGATATTCATGTAGGATTTTTTCAGGCCAGATCAGAACAAGGATCCATCTACTTTAACAGCTTCTCAGACTTCAGTCAAGGGAATTATTCTGACGATGCTATCCAACGTGTAATTCAAGCTAATTTCTTCCATGTTAAAGCCAATGTGGCTGTAGCCCCCGACTAAGCTGGCACTGATTTTTCATAACTAAATCAAATATTAGCAATAGGTGAAAGGAGATGGCAATGAAGATGTAACCGATGTTAAAGAGGCGATTTCAAGAAACTCTGCAGCAGGACAGTACGCCCACAGAGAAGATAACTCAGGGGTGGGCCAAATGCGGCCCGCCAAGCTGTTCTATCCGGCCTGCGGGGCTGCTAAAAAATTTAGAAAATTAATAGTTATCTGCTCCTGGCTGCCTGTCACACGACCCTCGATGGCTTGCCAAAACTCAGTAAGCGGCCCTCTTCCCAAAATAATTGCCTGCCCCTGATAACTCCTCTTTCAGGACATAAATCAGCGGGAATTAGGAAGCAAACATGTCTTCAAACATTCTTACTTAATACAAAGGCAGATTTGCTTTCCCTACAAGGCCTGATTGTCACTTTTTCCAAGTTGGTGTAAGTGGGATTTTTTCCCAGTTTAAGGTTTCTTTGCACAGTCAGAAACGGATGGTTTGTATGGGAAGGTTTGGACAGGCCTGATCCTGCCTCAGGCAGCGGGTTGGTCTAGATGACCTCGGGGGGTCCCTTCCAGCCCCACTTCGCTCTGACTCCGAGTTAGGACACTGTACAGCAGGTGAGGATTTCTTCCTCCGTATGGCATAAAGGGGCCTTAGTGATGACAAAATCAGCTTCCATTTAAAAGAAAAAAAGGGGGGCGGGAAGGGGGGAGCTGTGTTGTGGCACAAATTATTCATGTGGTTTGTAAAAATAGGTATTTAAATACCTGTATAAACACCTGTTTGTCCAACATTTTTGAAAATACCACATGCTCAAGATTGAAAAACCCGCATTATTTTAATGTCTGCACCCACAAAGCTCAATGTCGTACCTTTTGTTTTCTCCTCCTCTGTTTCTGAATACCGGTCAAGGTCTTCCGTTTCATTTGTCTGGCCACGTGGTGTTTGTGGGCTCGAATTCATCAACTCTAATAGCTTGTTCTCATAAAGAGTCCGCGTAGAAGCTAAAACAAACAGTTCAGAGCACAAGCAGCTTTTAGTTCGCTGCGTGATTAGCATTTTAATAATGGAAAATGACTGAAATTTAGGATTGTGCTCGGCACCTAGAGGCCCCCACGGAGTGGCGCTGAAATGTATGAACGTCTAGCCGTTCCGTGTAAATGTTTAAAAAGATGCTGAGCTCTTTTGAAAGCCTGGCTCTTTGCTTTCTTGCATAGGGTCAACAAGACCCCATTACTTGGTTTTTTTTTTTTAATTGCTTGCAAATGTAACCTGGCCTTAACTCTCCCCATTAGTGACTCGATGCGTACGTAGTACTGGTCCAGGTTCGACTCCATAGAAGAGGAGCTGTTTCTGCAATTCGCTGTCACTCAGGAGTTTAACCTGGAATCCATCTGTGGTTTCTTGGCTTCTGTTTTCGTGACGTTCTTCTATCAGCACGCCAACAGTAACCTGGGCCATGTTGTCCGACAGCAGAACCTCAGAAACGAGACATGAGAAAGGCACTTTGAAGAATTTTTCCTGTTGCTTCACAAATCCTGTTTTACCAACTACCCCTGTCTTTGCAAAAGGTACATTGCCACGCCTGGATTCCTGCCTCTGCCGGGATGGCTTCCAAACGCCTGACAAGTCCATCACAGAAGACTTTGGAGGGTTTGCACATTTAAAGCCTTTATACAAACCTAGGGGGCAAATTATAAGTAACGTAGCATTTACCTGTCAAATGGAATTAAGTGGATCAAAGAGATGGTCTACCCAAATTTCAGGGGAGTCTTCCAGAAGGGAAACAGAAAACCAATCAATATATGCAAACGTACAATACATAAATAATATCTTGGAATCTTAAGTGTAGTAGTCTGCTTTAGCACTTTTCTTTGAGGTATAAGATAGGCCAATAATTAATACTAAGTGCCCAGGCTTATATGCAACGTGCTTAGAAAAGTACTTGAAGTATCTTGTTAGAATTCAAATCTCCACTGTTTGCAATACTCCTTAGGAAATTGGAAATCATTCCTCCCCTTCCTTCCCACATCCGCTCTGCCTTGCCGCCTTTGTTTCCTTGTGTCAAGACAGCCCCAGAAACACATTTTTGTTCGCTTGCTTTCCCTTCTCTATACGTCTCTGCAGCAGC